CATATTTTTCAAACTTTCTATCATAATTTTCATCTTTACAATCATCATTTATATCAAGGACAATTTTCAAATTAAGTAGTTGATTTTGTTCAGGATCAATGCAACTACCAATTGGATACTTTTCAAACATTAATTTATATACATCTATAAAACCATTAAGTTTTGTCTTTGGTACAGTTTGAAAGCCAATCCATGTGTCATCATCAAGTGACAAAGTCTGATATACACCTGCAACCTTCAATTCAGTATTTGAAATTACATCAACAACACTTAATTTTTCTTTTTTAATAACAATGTGCTCTCCCTCCTTTATGTTATGATTAAAATTGGTTTTTAAGATTGAGCATCTATTTTTATCATTATCAGAGGTAATTTTCAGCAATCTAATTTGACCAATTGGTTTTCCTTGATTACATTGTTGAAATTGGCATTGGGTTTTTTGAAGGGTAATTTTTGTAATTAATGAATGAAATAGATTATTTTCTATGTCAATTGTTGTAAGATGCATTTGACAACCATTTATAGATGAAAATTGAAATAATTGTAGTGAATTCATATTTGAAGGTAGCTCAACAACTTTGAAAAAAAATTAATAATGAGAATGTTAAACACAAATAATTAATAAAAGTAATCCATTCAAAATAAACCAGCTCAATTTACCTTTATTAGCAGTCTTTCCCAAATTTGAACAAAAATAAACATAGGCTTTAAATACATCATTTGAAGTTAAATCTTTACTATTTGAACCTTTTTGTTCTTCTGGGCATTCATTATCTTCATTTTTTTCACCTGTGCCATTTTCATCATCATTAGATGCTGTTGATTTTTCTTTTACAAATACTACAATACAAGAACCATCAGGTGTGCTTGACATGTTTATAGAATCTGGAGGAAATTGTAGTGTTGCAGGACGAAATTGACCAGTCACAAGGTTATAAATTTTTGTTTTACCATTAGCTTCTACAAAACATAATTCTTCGGTAGTTTTTATAAAGAAAAAATATTTAATAACTGGTGCTGAATTATTATAATATTGTAGAATTTGAATATTGGGGTTGCGACCATAAAGATTGGTTTGATTTTCATCAAATGCATAAACATTTAGCTAAAATTTTTGGTTTGTGAAAAATGATATATATTACTTACAATTTAATCATTATAATGGATAAATACAAAAATAAATAAATAAATCAATTTACCACTCCTTTTTCAGCAACATAAATTCCAATTAAACCTTTGGGTTCATTTATAGCAAAAAGGCAATCACCATCAGGATTTAATGTTTTTAGTGGTTTTAAATTTGATAATTGAAAAGCTGATTTTAAGCGATTAGAATTTTCAAAAAAAATTTCTATTTGATTTGATTTTTTATTCCGAAGTATTATTAGGAACTTTCCATTTTCAAATTGAGATATTTTTCTAAAAAATATTGCATTATTAATTTAATACTGTGATTAATAATATCAAGCCCTACACAAAGCTTAGATACTTAAAATGCACTTAAAATATACTTAAAGTATACTGATGGAAGAGAACAAGAACATTTTAAGTGAGTTTTAAGTATGTTTTAAGTATATGAATTTATACTCAAAACACTCTTAAAATATACTATATACTTAAAATATACTTAACATACTTTTGATGGTAAACTAGCATACTTGAAATACACTTAAAATACACTTAAAATGCTACTCAAAACATACTTAATTTTGTTCATTATTAAAAAAGGTATGTTTTAAGCACATTTTAAGCACCTTCAAGTAGATTTTAAGCATGTTTTAAATACATTTTAAGTACCTAAACTTTTTGTAGGGAAGAATATTGAATAATTGATTACCTGAGTTCATATCTTTCTGGATCTATTTTGAAGGAAGTATGCTTATTGCTGTCAAGATGAAGTTTTGGAACATATAACTCATTTTTTTGAATATTTGAGTTTTCAGACTCTTCCAAGCGTGTTTCATATAATGTTATATTTAGGTGATCAGGTTGTATTGACTCAATTTCATAAGTAAGTTTTAAATACTTATAAAATGTTGTTTCTAATTAAAGGTAAATTTTTGTTAATGAGTTATAATCACAACAAAAAGATTAACTACTTAATTAGAATTACCTTCAGCTTCTATAATTTTAAAAATTGGTCTGTAATTTAAAAATAAAGATATTAATAATAAAAATTTTATAGCATAAAAATCATTTAAAAGTAATTTAATTACCCATCTGGGAATTTTTCTTCAAGTAATAGGCAAACCCTTGTGAATTCTTGTTTTTCTATTGCTTTAATTTTTTGTGATAATTCCTTGCTTAATTTTTCTTCATAATATGTTTTAACATTTGTATATTTTGGTATTATATTTTTGACATTCTCGGAAAAGCCTTTCCTCCATTTTTTAAAGTTTTCAAGAAAAGAATCAATGATTACACTTTTCTTTTCTTGTGAAATATTAAATATTTCAAAATTAGAAATACTAATTGATTTAAAATCATAAAGTTCATTAACAAATTTAGAGTCAGGTACATGCTTTGCTATTTGTTTAGCTTTTCGAATATTAGGTTCAATAACATGAGGTCCAATGACATGAGATTCAGAATTTGGTCCAGTAGTAATAGATGCTAAAGATTTTTCTGCATGTTTATTTACTAATTTAGTAAGATCTGTTTCTTCTTTATCAGCAAATGTATTGCAAAAAAATTCAGAAAAACAGCTTTCCACTTTATTTGAGTCAGGGTTGTCTTTTGAATTAGTGTTATTTGTTTTCCATTTAATAAACATTTCAATAGTCATAAATGAACAAAAGAGAAATTTCTCTTTCAAAGATTTCCAGGGGTTTGATCTTATTAGAATAGATTCCTCTATTTTTTTATTTATATCAGGATATTTCTCATGGATTTCTTTGATTTCTATTTAGAATTAATAAATATCAAAATGTTTAAATGATAAATAATAATTCAAATTTTATAACTTACCTGAATATTCAAATTTGGGTATTGTATTATCATCTTTAATAGTTTCTTCAAATTTGCTATATATAAAATCAATAAAAGTTAAAAACCATCCAATAGTTATAAAAAAAATTTTTAAGCAAGATTTATACCTGTAAGTTTCTTTTAATTTCATCCATGCCATGTTTGTGATAATTTCTGTATCTCTTTTAATTTCATCTTTTATATTTTCTTTTTTCTTACTAGTTGTTTCTTTTTCAGCTTTTATGGATTCTTCATAAGATGATAATAGCTCCTTCTCATCATCTAGGCAAAATTCAATAAACTTTTTTAATAATGTCATGTCCATGGAATTTTTTTCAATCTTGAGGGAATATCCTTTAATGAGCTCTTTGAATGGAGTTTTATTATAAGATTTTGAATAAATTGCTGAATATCTTTTCATTATTGGGGATGATCTGATAATACTTTGAGTGATGAATGCTTGATGTGACACAGATTCAACAACTATTTAAATAAAAAAGGTAAGCTAATGAATGGAATTGAAGATATTTTAAAGAATTGAAACAGAATAGTGATAATACCAGTAGGTTGCATAGAGGTTCCATTATGATGAATGATCTTAAGGTCTGGTTGGATGTAGTTTGGTAGTTGGACCTAACATGTTTATTACATGATAGGTTAATGTAACAAATAAATTCATAAATACAAAGAAAGCCTTCTAACCTTAAAGCCTTCATATAACTGGAAATCATTTTCTTCTTGGCTTTCTTTGACTTCAAACTCATAACATGCATCATCATCATCATTGTTATTGTCATCATCACTATTATCACCATCATTATCATAGCCATCATTCCTTTCATTTCTTATTTCCCATTCAAAAGACTTTAAATCATTGTTACTCATTAAACATATCTGGTGATCAGTCAGTTTTGTGAGATACCTATAAATGTAATTTTTTAGTCATTTATTATAATATGATACAATGAGCAATTGGTATTAGAACAAAAATCTGTTATACTGAAAATTAATTAGTAAATCTGTAAACCATTAAATCAAGACTTTTGTAGCCACTAATACTAAATCAAGTTCCACTAAATTGAAACTCACATGTAAAAACTTTAAAAAGTTTATATTTACCTGTGAAAGTTAACCATACTTTTTTTAAGATGATCAGATGCATTCTCTTCATAACAACCAGGCTCAGGCCAATGAATTACTAAACCAAGATTAACATTCACAATCAACAAGTAGATTCCTGAATGAAGAGAAGGACTTTCAGTTTTATTTGAAGATACAAGCAAATCATACCTAAATAGATAAATTTGTTAATCGTGAACAATAAAAATAATGGATGAAGAAGAATCAATTCAATTTACACTTTTTGGTTAATAATTTTTTTAATTAATAGTAGCTTTGCAATCAATTCAGAGTTCCCATAGCAGCCAACAAGATTGAAGGAGACTCTATTCAGTTTTTTATAACTAATATTTGAAACAGACTTAAAACTTTTAGGAACCAATTCATTACAAAGCTTTTCTAATGATTCCTTTGATATGATTATTTTGTTAACTAGAAAAAATAAATTATAGCAATAAATATCACATGATATTGACAAGTCACATTATTAATCCCTATGAATAATTAAGATACATACCAAGACCATTTGATCCTTTGTCTTTTTTTAGATCTAACAATAGATACAACCCAGGAATACAATCTAAAAGATCTTGTTCCTTTTTAATATCCTTGTTCAAATTAGCATATAAATTTTCACGTTTTGAAAATATCTCTAAAACTTTTTCCTTGATTTTTTTATGATCATCTGATACCATTTTATCTGATGTTTTAGTATTGGTGGATGATTTAATGGGCTTGGTCACGATTACCAAACTTTCAGTGTCAAAACTAAGATTTTTTGAAGCAGTGCTTTTTTTGATAAAAAGACCAGATGATTCATCCAAATTTTTAGATTCTGAATTATCACACATTGTCTTGCCTTTGTTTAAAGAGCTTGTATTGTTAGTTTCTGGATCACCAATAGTAAGTATCTTATTTGGTTAAATGGTAATGAAATAAAGAATTAATCAATTCTTTAAATATCTCGTGAAAAGTCCCATTCTTTCCAAATTAAGAAACGATTGTCGGAAACTTTACATTAATTGGGGTGTGTTTGGATATGAAATTCTGATTGGCTGATTTGAATTTCACATAAATTTATAAAAAATACGTCCAAGATAAACAATTCGTCAAAGAAAGAAAACTATCATCACGTGTTGAAAAGAAGTCACCTAGTAAGTTTTATTAAAGAAACAAACAACAAATCATTATGTTGCCTTGCTGTATTATGAGTTTGAATATTAGATTGTTTATTATTTATGTAGCTGTTAGAGATTAATGCTAACGATATTAAATTCTGTTTTTTTTTGTTGCTCTTAGAGAATCATCATTAACAGCAATGGCAACAAATAATCAACAACAGTCTTCTTATCACTACTATTACTACAATCACAAACAAGTAAATGATATTCTCTTTGGATGGGTAATGATGACTGTTTTTAATGAACCTGGATTTTTGGTGTCGATCCAATTTCCACCCACAAGAGCAAGAATGGACAATTAAGAAATAAAACATAAAATTGAGTAAACCGGTATAGTTTTGGAAAATTAAAAAGCACATAAAACAAAAAACAAAAAGTTAGCCATGCCAAACATTCCCTCAAATATAATTCAAAAGTTACCTTCAGTTTTATAAGAAACAATTTCTGTCATCATTGCCAGGATCAAACCCAACACATTGGCAATTTTCTATCCCAACGGCCAACTCTAAAAGCACCTTCACAATCTCTTAAATTTTGGGTATCTGGATACGAAATTCTGATTGGCTAATTTCACGCGTGTATGGTATGTTTTAATGTCGAAAACTTTTAATTAAAATCAAGCCTCAAAATGAAAGATTAACACGTCAATTATTTTAAAAATCATCATATCAAAACCGTCTCAAAAGATTCCATTTTAATAGGTATAAGTAGCCTTTTTCATTTCCATCAAATTTAAATTAATATTTACAGTGTTATCTAATAATTGATAAATCCACCCAACATTTAAAATTAATCCAATCATGTTCAACTTTCAATATTTGAAAATAAACCGTTTTAAATATTAAATATTACAATCTAATTTTTAAAATCATCAATCTCCACTATTTTCGCCATTTGAATAATCAATTATTGATGATTAATGTTAAATGTACACCAAGGTTGGGTGACAAAAAAATATTTTGGTGTAAAAAGTATTTCGTCAAATGGGCACATTGACGAAATGTGACGAAAGGGTAAAGTCAAAGTCAAATTATGACAAAAATATAAAATTCAAATTTATTAAAACAAAATTTAATTTTAAACATTTTTTTTACATTGTAAATCATGTTTCTTGGTTGGATACTTAATTTTTGTACGCAAAGTTTTAGTAGGAATTGCTGCTTCACATCTATTGCTGGTTTCATAACTTTCTTCAAAATCTGTAGAATCATCTGATAATCCCGATTGTTGAAATGCTTCTTCATTTACTATTTTAATGAAGTGTAATCATACATCAGACACAGGACTTCCTGTAGCTAATTCTTGATTATTGTTAAAGAACCTTCAGGTATGTTATCTAATTTAATGTTTACAAATCCATGTTATGTGATGATTATTGAGAAGGAATTGGTGAATTTGAATTTTATTTACTCTATAGTTTAAAAATCTATAAAATAATTGGTTAATTTTACTGCTTTGTTGATTTCGTCAAATTACTCAGTGTAGTAGAAATCCCATTTCGTCACATTTATTTTGGTCATGTGACGAAAAGGAGATATTTCCGTCACCCAACCTTGATATACACTTGATAATTCTGACATTTATTATATTATCAAGTACTTTAAAGAGTAGTGACTTATCGAGTTCACCTGTATGTTGCCAATTATTTTTATTAATTGATACTTTTACAAAGTATTTGTCAAACATTTATGATGATGAATAATCAACTCAAATTTTCTTAGTAGGTAGTGACAGTCTGACCATATGCGCTGAGTAGTAGGTATGATCATAACGTCGTGAATACTTTATACTAGCAAAAACGCATTGGTTTTGAGGTGGGACCATTGGTTTGACGGGCTGGTGAATAGTAGAATAGTTTTTTAGCGGAGCAAATAAATCTTTAGGGTTAATTATAATTCTATTGACCAGTTTACACATCAAAAATACTCATGCTTAACATCGAGATGCAATAAGATATAAAGGTTTCAAGCTCATAAAGCTCATGAAACTCATGCGTTTATCAATGATTCAATAGTAAATTTCAATTGAAATCTTTTGCCTTCAAACTAATTTTCATTTGAATATTAATATTAAGTCATTTTATCTGAATATTTCTGTTATAAAATAATTTTCCGAGTTTTAATAATAACATATTTTTTAATTTACGTCAGTACAGGACTTTGTCTCCGAGAATTATTCAAATTCAACACTTGAAGCTTTCATGAAACACGCACACAGACACGCTTTACTAACAAATGTGCCAAATTTATCAAAATACGCATTCAATTTGCTATATTGTGTTGACAACTTTAAAGGAAGCCATATCAAAATTGTTCTCGGTTATAAGAAGTACGAACCACCAATATATAGAAAAGAATAATAATATACAAATCTTCATTTATATGGACATTGAATTCACGAAACGACCAACAGTAGAAAGAACTATCCTGAATGCCAAATTCCTATATGCCAATTTTCTTTCTCAAACTTAATATTATACTATTTAGTATTTTTCCCACAGAAAACAGTATATTTTGTTTTGGTCTAATTAGAGTTTGCATTTTTGATGATTGTCAAAAAAAAAATTATTTTCAAAATTTACTGTATATACCTAACTTTTAATGCTAGTTACCAATATGACAAAAAAAGACAATAAACGAAAGCTTGAAGAAGTTGAGGTTGATGAGGATCTGATAAAAGAGGCTAAAAGACAACGTGAAATATGGTATTTATTTATTTTATTTTATTGTAATTGTAATTGTGATTGTTTAAATGTGTCATTTACATTAAAAAAACAAACACAGTGAACTTGTAAATCGTCGACCAAAGAAAACACCAAAGAATGGACGAAACTTCATTATCGAATCTTCAGAAAAATCAATTCCACAAAAAAATATAACAAAGTAAATTAAAAAAAGTTTCATTTCATTAATTAATTAAATTTATTTATTTATAAACGTCCTAATTAATTGATCATTATAGACTTGGTAAATATATAGCAATTGATTGTGAAGCAGTAGGTATTGGCCCTGATGGAACAGAATCAGCACTTGCCAGAGTCACAATTGTTAATTTCCATGGAGTGGTAGTATTGGATAAATATGTAAAACCTTTGGATTATGTGACAAATTTCAGAACAGAAATCAGTGGAATAACTAGAAAAATGCTCATAAATGGTATAATATATATATATATCTTAATTATTGTTAATAGCTAGTGGTCAATGATATGGTGAGATTTTAATTAATTATTATTTTATGTTTATGTTTATGTAAAGCTAATAAATTTAAAGATGTACAAAAAGAAGTCTCGGATATAATCAAAGATAGAATTATTATTGGACATGCCATTCACAATGATCTAAAGGTAAAAGATAGATAGTAAATAAATGTTTAGTGTACATACATACTCCTCACTCTTACTCAAATCCTCGCATCCTATATGTGTGCACAGTTATTGCTATTAGATCACCCAAGCAGCATGATACGAGACACTTCCAAATATAAACCATTTCGTAAACATTCTAATGGTAAAACACCTTCTTTAAAAAAATTGGCCGAAACAGAATTAAACATAACAATCCAAGAAGGAAAACATTGCTCCGTGTGTATATTATTATATGGATATTATGTTTATATAATTAATTACTGGAAACTAACGCTCTCTCCACATTCTCTATTTATAGATCCAAGATGCTCAAACTTGTATGCTTTTGTTTCATAAACATAAGAATGATTGGGAACAATTGGCACTGAAAAGAAATTATAAAATAAATAAAAATAGCTTTAAAAAAAACAATAATAATAATAATAATAAATAAATAAATCATTTTTTATTATTACGAAATACTGTTTGCAAATATGAAAAATTAACAAATAATAATTAACAGAACATTCAATCAACATAAATTAAATTTTAATGATGACTCTTTCAAATTTTGGTTTACTTGACTAAATTGTATATATAATTACAGAGTATAGCGTTTTATTAAAAAAAAAACTGTTACCTCTAGGATTTCGAAAATCAATATCATACGGAGGTTCTAAAAAAACCAATCTTTAATATATAATATATGACTCTATTTTCGTCGTTACTATCTCCTTTCTTCATAGTAATAGTAAATAAAATAATTACCGGATTGGAATTTGTTTTCAAGATAATTGCCTGCTTACAAGAAATGGTGCCAGAGGTCTGATTTTGGTGTAGGCCAGCCACAAGCCTCAAAGAATGCCATATCTAATAATAATCGTTTTTTTTTTTAATTGACGTTACCGATTATGATGTTGGTTGATTTTTTTGGTTGAATGAGCGAAAGCCGCAGTATATATATTCTCGCCAATAAAATTTATATTTTGAAATACTGTGCGTGCAATTTGATTAATTTTATCTTCAAAAATTCGTAAAAAATACAATAGCAATAATAATAATAATAATTCCAATCAAAGTAGAATTTTCAAATAAGGTTTTTATACATAATGTTTCCAGGATCGAGTATGCTTGAAAATCAATTCACTACAAAACGTATTAGATTAGATTCAAAAGAGAAAAAAGAGCAACAGAATGGTTCAAGTTCCAAATTTCCAATTCCTTACGAAACAAATGATGATTCAGTAGAAACTGATGAAAAATTAATACCAATTAATTATAATTCTGCTAAACATGGAAAGGATTTCGTTTTTCCTTCACACTCTGACTTCCTAGATAACCCTGGTTATTCTCGACAATACATAAATAACAGTAATACAAAGACACCGATTAAAAAATTGGTTATTAAACCACTTAAAGGTAATTTTGTGATTAATTTATTTATTTGTAAAAAATGGATCCATCCATATATCCTATTCAATAATTAGAATTATTGACACATTAAATTTTTTTTCGTTAATAAATAAACATATAGTAAAACCATCATTACCTTCAGATTTTGAGGAAAAAACATGGGCAAAACTTGCAAGTGCGATTCAAGCAATTTATAGTTCTAAATCAGTGAATGATAGTCTTGAAGAGCTTTATAAAGCATGTGAAAATCTTTGTTTACACAAATTATCTAAATCTCTTTATCAAAAATTGCACAGCGAACTTGAAAAACATATTTTGTTAGAGGGTGAACAAATTCAAAAGTATGCTTTTGTTTGTGCGATGATGATGTTGTCAATATATTGTAGTAGTGGTATTATTGATCTAAAAAAATTTTTTGTAGTAATCAAATAAACGAAATAAGTTTCCTCAGATCAGTTGATAAAAGTTGGAAAGAACATTGTAAACATATGGTAATGATTTTTATTGTTATTTTGAGATTTCTAATAATATTATTTTAATAGAAATCTAATAACATGTATATTATAGGTGTTAATTAGGAGTATCTTTTTATATCTCGATCGTACATACGTACTTCAAACTGGTGGAATTTTATCAATATGGTATTATTTTTTTATACAATATACATAAATATACATGCAAATATACAAATATACTGATATACAAATATATATGAATTTTCTTGTAATTAATAATTTTAGGGATTTAGGCTTGGAATTATTTAGAAAACATATTATGATAGCATCTAACATACGTGCTAAAACTCTGAGTGGAATATTGTCATTGATCAAACAAGAAAGGTAACAATATTTTTGTCTTTTCCTTGTGTATTTTATTTATATATATATATTAATTTCAACTTTTATATACACTCTCTCCCTTGTATGTATATGTATAGAGATGGAGATGCAGTTGATTACGCACTAATCAAGTCACTTATTAGGATGTTCATTGATCTCAACATTTACTATCATGGATTTGAAATTCCATTTTTGGAAGAAACGCGCAGCTATTTTATGATTGAGGGTCAACGTCTGGTCAGTGAATTGTCTGTACCACAATACTTGAGTCATGTCTCAAATCGATTATCAATTGAGAGTGCAAGAGCTGCCGAATATTTAGATAAGAAAACAATGGATCCCCTATTAAAAGCTATTGATGAAGAACTAATAATGAAACATGTTGATACTATATTAGATAAAGGTTTTTCATTGATTTATTTCTTTTTTAGGGGAAATGGTTTATTTTTTTGGCAAGGGATAAATATTAATTTTTGTTTGATTTAAATACAACGTATCTATTTATAGGATTCATTAATATGGTTGATAATAACGATATTTGTTTTCATATCGATGAATTGAAATCTTTGTATAATCTTTTTTTAAGAGTCAATGCTCTAGATCAAATACGGTCACATTTTGGTTCTTACATCAAGGTAAAAATTGGTATTCGATGTCCAGATTTTTGATTTTTACCATAACTTCCAATTCTCACAAACTTTTAAATTTTAAATAGAAAACTGGTACACAAATAGTTACTGATACTAATAATGAATCAGACATGGTTTCAGAATTGTTAACATTAAAATCAAGGATGGACTCGATTGTTAACGGTCCATTCCAAAGTAATTACAACTTTGTTTATACTGTAAAAGAAAGTTTTGAAATGTTTATTAATCAACGACAAAATAAACCCGCTGAACTAATTGGTAAGTGGTTATTGGATTATTTATTGTTTTTTTTTTTTTTTTTGGTTAATTCACAACTAAAATTAATTAATTAATTTATTGGTAGCTAAATATGTGGATCAGAAATTACGTCAAGGAAATAAGAGTATGAATGATACCGAAATGGAACATATGTTGAATGAAGTGTTAGTTTTATTTCGATATATACAAGGTAAAAATCCTTATATATATATGTATCTTCAAAATAAATGCGAGTATTTAATATTCCTAATTTTTTCCATTGTTTTAGGTAAAGATATATTCGAAGCCTTTTATAAACGTGATCTTGCCAAAAGACTTTTGCTAAACAAAAGTGCATCGTTTGATTATGAAAAAAGCATGCTGACTAAACTAAGAAAAGGTTGGTTTTGTCTCTCTACACAAATATGTATATATGTGAAATTTTATGTACATGTTAATTGAGCTTAATCAATTATATATAGAATGTGGACCTGGGTTTACTGGTAAACTTGAAGGAATGTTTAAGGACATAGATTTATCTCGCGATTTCATGCGCTCTTTTCAAGTAAATATAATAATTATTATTTAAACTTTTTTTTTTATTATAAACAATCGCTGTCACATACATATTCTCACCATATATATGTATAAATATATATAAATAAATATTAGGATTCAAAAGCATCCGAAGAAATGAAAAGATATAAAATTGATTTTTCTGTTAATATCCTAACACAAGGGTTTTGGCCTACTTATGCGCCTAATCCATGTAATTTACCACCATATGTAGGTTTTCGCTTACTCTAATATTTTTTTTTCTTTCTATTTTTTTTTTTTTTTTTTTTTTTTTGAACAACAATATATTTACATATAAATGCGCATATTTACATATAGATGACACAATGTCAAGAAATTTTCAAGGATTTTTATTTGAGTAAACATAGTGGTAGAAATTTAAAATGGCAAAATTCTTTAGGGCATTGTATACTATCTGCAAATTTTCCACTAGTATGTTGCAGAGAATTCTATTTGGGATTTCTAAATCAATAAATAGATTTATTAGTTACTCAACTAATGTCCATATATATATATATATATATATATATATTCATATATAGGCAAATAAAGAATTGGTGGTAAGTTTATATCAAGCAGTGACATTATTACTTTTTAATAGTTATGAAGATATATCACAACGAGTAACCTACGAAGAAATAAAAGAAATCACAGGATTGGGTTAGTAATAAAAATTTTCAATTCCTGGGATAGCATTACGTCTTTCTTTGGCGTACCTTTTTATTGATTAGTAATAAGCCTCATGCAAGAATCAAAGAAAATTATTTTCATCAATCAATTAATTATCATTGTTGTCGTTTATTATTATAATAGATCATAAAGATCTTACACTTACACTTCAATCGTTAGCATGTGGTAAAACACGAGTTCTCACCAAATTTCCAAAAGGAAGAGATGTCAATAAAACGGATAAATTTGCTATTAATGAAAAATTTGATGTTCAATATTATCGTGTCAAGATTAATTCGATCCAATTAAAAGAGACGGTTCGTTTATCAATAAATTTGTTCATTTATCCATTCTCTGATTCACACACACACACGCACACATATATATTGATAATTGTGATTTTTTCCCCCTCTAATTATTAAATGAATTTATAGCTAGAAGAAAATAATGACACAACAGAACGTGTATTTCTTGATCGTCAATATCAAGTTGATGCTGCATTAGTTCGTATAATGAAAATGAGAAAATCATTAACTCACAATGAAATTGTTACTGAATTATTAGGACAATTGAAATTTAAGGCCATGGTAAATAATCATTATATAATAATAACGATAATTTATACTTCTTGTATCTAATTGTATTAATTAATACATATCTATGTGTAGGTTTCTGATATTAAGAAAAGAATTGAATCGTTAATTGATCGTGATTATTTAGAAAGAGATCCTGATGACTCATCGGTAATCAGATACTTGGCTTAGTATTTACAATAATGAATAACTAATATTAGCATCAATTATTGCCACCGTTGCTAATAATAATAATAATAATAATAATAATAATAATAATAATATTTGATTTTGTATATTTATATAACAATAGCAATTAGTTAGCAATAATGATATATATAATTTTTTTTTGTATTTATTTTTTTTCTCTTTAAAAAAATTAAAAAAATTAAAATTTATTGAATATGAATAAATCAAAATCATATATACACATTTTATAAATAAATACATAAATACATACATATATTATATATTAAAAAATAAAACAAAGTATGATTTATTGCATAACAATAATAAACGTAGTAAATATAATATCGATTATATAATATAATAATAAAATTAAAAAAATAAAAAATAAAAATTATATAATTAAATAAAAAAAAATTCACAATAAAATAATATGCAATATATACAAAAGAAATTATATATATAAATATATTTTAGAAAATTTTTTATGCCCTAAATAAAAGAAACAAAGAATATGTTTATATATATATATATATATCTTATATATTCAATTTACTACCAAATTTAAAGGGTTTCATTATCATTCATTAATTTAATATGTTTTACTACGTTAAAATAAATTAATCCAATACGAAAAAAAATAAAATAAAAATAAAAGTCTACATTGATCACCACAATAAAAAAAGCTTTTTTTATTGTTGTATAAATAATCCCATAAATTAAAACAAATATCTTTATAATTCCAATTCAGTCCAACCTAATCCGATCACGCTTGCATTTTCGTCATTTAATTTATGATCTTGTTTCTGTAGTAATATCTTTTGGTTTCTTTTTCTTTGTTTTATTGTTGGGTGATAATTTATGTAAATTGTCATTAATATTATTTGGATCTCTATTATTGCCAACTATTATTGTAGGTCTAACAGCCTCATCTCCTTCTATTTTTATATGAGATCTTTTTCTTGCTGCTAGATCATCGCCATATTCTTCTCCGTCACCAATATTTGTAAAGTTGATCTTGTCTTTCTTGGATTTTTTGATATGATTTTTAAACTTATCATCGCCGTCATCCATCCCTTCTTTACGTTTTTTCGACGTGCCGCTACCACCACTATTATTTTGAGATTTTGAACTTTTTGATATAGTATTTTCAAGGGTGTTTGATTTTCGGTTTAATTTATTTGTTGCTTTTGTTGAAAGTTCATCTTCTTCATCAACTGTCTCATCAGATTCTCCATCATCATCATTCTCATCTTCGTCCTCCTCATCATCATTATGATTTTCGTCACCGCTATCTGATTCTTGCCCATTTTCTTCCTCTATTTCATCCACTTCATCATCATCATCATCATCATCTGTATAATCTTGTAAATCATTCCTAGATTTTTTTCCTAAACTTTTGGAACTAGAAGCGGTTTCTTTATTGTCATCGGTGGTCTCAATCATATTTGATGATGAATTATCCTTATTTTCCATATAAGTTTTATATTCAATTTCATAATTTTGCCTTGCCTGTTGAAGTTTGGTTTCATATATCTGATATTAATTAATAATGATAATAATAATATTGTTATTATTTAAGTTTAATTTTACGTTGATTTTTATAATAGATAGATGAATATGAAAATATGCATGCATGCATGCATGTATGCATGATTATTATTAACACCCATTACTAACCTTTTTGTCATCGTTTGAAAGACTTTGCCATCGTTGACTAATAATGCGTAAAATATCGTTCCATTTAGTGTCGGGGAATTCTTTACGTATTTCATCTTGGACATCTTTTTGGTAAAGGAGAAACGCGCTAACAGGTTTTTTTGGTGCATTCGGATCAACAGGTTTTTTTATTCTATTACGTTTTTTCTTGGTTCCATTTTCAGTATCGGCGCTGGAATTGGCCTTGCTTCTACTGCTGCTACTATTGCTAACGGCATTGCTTTTACTGCTATTATGTTTTGATGATGATGCAGCTATTGGTTTAGTTAGTTCTTCAATTTCCAAAAGCGCATCATTTTCTAAAGTATTTACATTTGATTTATTTTTATTTTTACCACTTCTTATTGTAGATGAAAATTTATTATTAACTGCGGACCTTTTAGAATCATGCTTCATAAAAGATTTCAACAAAGGATCATTTTCAATAAGCGAATTAAAATATTCCAACACGAAATCTTTGGTATCGTTTTGTTGTTGATTCTTATCTTTCCTTGATCCTTTACTGCTACTGTTACTACTATTATTAAGATTAGCATTAATATTTTCATAATTTTTGAAAATCACATCATTTTCAACAAGAGTCTCGACATATCGAAGTAAAAAACTTCTTAGATCCCCCGAGTTAAACTCTCTAAGTAAATTTAAATCACGTTGCTCTCCGATTTCATTCTCCAAAGAACTATTATTGGTTGTTAATGTACGAGCAGCCGTTAATAAACAAGTGGCAGCTCCTTGTAAACCAACCGCCTAAAAAAAAAGATAAAAAAGTATAATTAGTTTTATATTTAATGTTTATTATTATTATTATCACTATTATTATTATTATTATTAAGGTCACTTACTAAATTTTTTACTTGTTGCTCATTAAGTGTAAGGGACATTCTAAATTTATACTTTTATATATATATTTTTTTTTTTTAACTTGTATCTAAAATACCTTTTTTAAATTGCTATTTAAAATGAAGGATAATGATTCGTTGAAGAATGATCAATATACTTTATGAAACAGCTTTTTATGAAGTAGAATCAACAAATGTTTTGCTTTTATCACTAAATTAAATACTGATGGTTATTTTTGTTATTAATATAATCCACAATGATTAGTCCAAATTTTTTTTAAAAAAAAACAACAAAAAAAAAGTAGAACACGACTTTTTTTCCCAAAAAATTTATTATTTATAATTGTTGTTTGTTGTTGGTTGTGCGGTGTTTGTGTGAAGTATATATATTTATGTGTGGATGGATGATGGGACGATGAATAAAAAAATATATTGAAGAAAAAAAAAATAATAATTTTATGCTTATGATCTACATAAATCTAGCTAAATATATTATATAATTGTATTACAAATATGTCATTTAAACAACTTTGCCTCAAATCAACAACTCACATGGTTTGTACCCAACAATCAGGTTCTTCGAATTTTCCGGAAAAAAAACTTTGAAAAGAAATCGCCGAATTTGTAATGCCGGCAAGAAATCATCCAGATATATATCCAAATGATACATATAAAATATGCTAATTAATCTCAAATCCACCATAGAGCCAAAGAATCACAGCATAATTAGGAATATTTTAAAAACAGAACAAGGTGAAAAAATTACCCTTTATGTTTTAACATAGGTGCTCAAAGAATATTTGAAGGATTATTCATAAATTTACAAAAAAAAAGAAAATAATAAACACTAGGAAAAGGAAGGTAGAATGAAAGCGAACAACTACCTATAAAAAATCGGAAATCTTTGGAAGAAAAATAATACGGGCAAAGTCTTATGTTTGCATAAATCTTTTTTAAGTAGTATCAATAAATGACGATACTTATAATACCAAGTACTAAAGTTATACCTGCTGATCATAGCCAAATAAACTTACCATCAACTTTCTTTTCTCTTTGTATATGTGTGTTCTGAGGCATAGTTCATATATTTTGTTACTACCTTTTCATAATCTTCATCTTTTAAATTACTGACTGAAGTTTTGCATTAGATCCTTGGACATGCTGATTACGTTTATATATAATGTATGTAAAATATTATACATATCATGTTAACTACTCAAGAGAAAATGACATGCTTGGATTTAGCCAATGTTGGAAATATTTATGTGAAAAGTTTTATAATGAAAGAGACAAAATTATTCTGTAAAAGTAATATCAGATCGAATATTTGGAGGAAGTTTGGAAAACTATTGAATTAGGAGGAATTGAAAAATCCTCAAAAGGCACACAGGATTGTTTATCTAGGGAATTATTTGATATAGAGAATAAACTGGATGAAATTGAAAGAAAGAAAAAAAAAGCTAGAGGCCCAAATTGCTGAATTAGTTTAGATAAGAGCAAAGTAGAAGAAAAGAGAAATGAAAGAGAAAATTCTCGAAATTTTACCCAGAATGACGAGAAAACGAAAAATAATAATAAGTTTGGAAACTAATTCAATCATTAAAGGAACTAAATTACGAATCAATCCAAGTTAAAGGCAAAGTTCTTAATGACTTGCGAGAAACAAAGAAACAAGAGAAAAAAGAGAAACAACATGCCCAAATATAAGACAAGGACAAAAAAATAGACTGTTTAAACACAGAAAACAAGCAATAAAAAAAAAGCGATAAGTATTTATTGAATTTATCTCCAAGAAATAATGAGAAGAAAACCAATTAAGAAGTCGGAAAGAAAAATCCAAATATTACAGGAAATCAAGAGCAAAAAGAAAAAATTCCTCCGCGAAAATATCAAGAAAACACAGAAGAGTTGGAAATTAGCAAATCGAGCAGAAATCGGCTCAAGTTCGGCAAGCAGAGAAGCAATTAAATAAAAATCCAGTTAACCAAAATCTAAATTTCTCTTTTTTTCTTTTAGTAATAATTATTGAACCAATAAAATAAGGAATTGATTCATTGTAAATTTTAATTACTGAATAAAAATATCATTTATTAACATTATATGTTGGTTTGGAGAAGTAATATCTTTAAATTATTATAAAGGTATCTTGATGCTTAATATCCGTTAGGAATGGTGTCGATATCGGGAATGATAGGATTTTTTTATAATTATATAATGCTCAAATACTCCATGGAATATAATCTCCATATATTTGTGTCATAAATGCTCAAATAGTCCATGGAATATAATCTCCATATATTTGTGTCATAAATGCTCAAATAGTCCATGGAATATAGTCTCCGTATATTTGTGTCATAAATGATCTAAATATTGATACTCTTTAACTTCTCGAGTAACCACGGCGATCATTGTTATAAGGTTTGCAGCCTTTTACCATACAGAACTTGCATTTGAACTATATCCTATTCCATCAACGCCATTACTTTTGACTGGTAATTAATTGACTTGGGACATGCCGATTATTTTATTGCAATAAAGGCAAAACAATATTTGCGGTTACCGAAAAATCTTGGCAAGTCTTTTTAAACCAATGGATGAATCTATGAATGTATGAAATCTTTTTTTAGCATATCTTGCCTCTTCAAATGATTGTTTGACTGCCTCAAAACTAAATATTCATGAGACTAGAGCTTGTATCCGTCACCCGAATCCGATGATAATAATATAATAATATTATTTTGCATCACAAAATTTTCTATAAATTTATTACGATTAAGCAAATAAATTAATTGCAATGTAATAATAATAATAATTCCATGTTGTACTTTTATCATTTGGGTTTAAGTTCTGATGTCTCTTATTAAAATTAAAATTAATATAATTAATATCAGCTCAACATATGACAGCATATTCTATACAAAAAAAATATATGCAATTTGCATGTGAATTGTGTGCTTTGCCCCTACAATTTATGTGGAATATATGTAACTGTTTTCCAGATGAACGTATTTTAAAAATATCTGCTTACGTTATTATTATTAGTATTAATAGTTTTGGCATATTAACATTGGAGTTTGAATGAGATTTTTCTTATGTTTGTCCCATGCATTACAGATTAAACTTTAAGATACCACCAATTTTGAAAGGGGAAAATACATTTCTTTAAGGAAAAACTATTTGCAAAAGACATTAAATCTAAGAGATTGAACTTGGCTGTCATTCAAATTCAATAGAATAGAGCTAACCTTCTCACTTCTATTCAGGACCCTGGTAGAATTCCGTGACATAATCGAGGCTTCAATAGGTCTTTCAGAAAAATCCCAATATGTAATTTCAAGGTATTTTCACCTTGAATTTTCATCATATCATAGCTGATAAGTTTTGGGGTCGATTAAACCTTTCTTGTGGAAAAGGAAGTTTAGAACAAATTGTAAAATTTTATGAATCTTTATCCTTTTCTAGTTTAAAACTCGCTATTTGTGAGCTTGGTGCTGTTGTAACTTTTCTAAAATAAATATATTAATAATAATTGTCTTATTAATTGACTTATACCCAAGGTCAACCTTTTATATGTTCCTTGGACTTTTCGCTCTTTACCTTTTCTAAATTCATTCAGCAAAATTATCGGATTTTTAAAGCCATTTTTCATGATTGTTCAGACTACTAAAGTAGGTTTGTTCTGAGGATTAGCCAGTCCAAGGCAAGGAACTAACTCCAAAGGTCGTCCAGTAGCGATTTTTAAAGTTTGGACGAAAGTAGTTTTTCCTACTCCTGGTAATTAACGATAGTTCACCAGTAAAGACATTTGTTTTACAATAATAAATAATATAACAATTGTTTATTTGCTTATTATTGATCTTTTTAAATTTGCTATGAATGAATTTTAATAGTATTAATATTTAGTAATAATAGTAATTCACAACAAATTCACAGAACCAATGAATTTTTTATACAAAAAATCTGTTTTAAATAAATTCGTATATAACATGAAATTTATAACTGTCAAAGTAATTCAGTAAAGAGTGAAGTAACTTGGAAATTTGCTATTTTCATTGCATGTAATTTATTAAAATAACAAACCATTTCGCGGCAGTTACCAAGAAGTAATTGCAGGACATCAATAGAAAACTCGGATTCTATTTAATATACCACCAAGTAATTCGAAAAACATGGAGTTAATTCAAGAATTCGAAAAAAAACAATGTTAGGATAGATGCTATATACTACTACATTTATATATAACATTTATGATTTGAAAAAATAATTGATAGGTCTAAATAGCATAAAGATAGTCAATGGCGAGGGTGATGACGATAAATAAGTTTTAACATTAAATCATCAGACAAAAAGAGTTACGTTGAGCATCAAGGTACAAAGTTTACCACAAACTCTTCCCTGCTTTTCGTTCGACGCATCTGATGTCAACTTGTCGTTTTCCGTGAGGGATTAGCAGATGTTACAGTCTCAAATTTTCATTCAATTCTATTTCTTATACTTTAGCAAAAAAAGAAAGAATTTGAAAACAATCCAAGTATTTACTAACATTCTAATCTATATTTTGTACTCTAATTAATTTATCGAACGTAGAGATATTATAAAGTCACTGATATTACTAGTGTTACTACTATAATTGAGAATCATTATGTGACGTTATGTTCACTTTGCCTAATTTTGTTTCATAAAACAAGTAAACAAATTGTAACAATTGTGTATTTGACCAATTGTACTTATAATAAAATCCCACTAATTCTGAAGATGGTGATAACTATAGCTTTAAAATTAATGTTATTAGTGTTAGTAGTTTTGTCAATCATTATTCCTCTACCTATACTATCACTTTTCTAGTTTTTCCGTTCTTATATGATGTTAAAGTTGATGTTGAAGATGTGGATGTGGATTTAGAAGCAAGTAGCATTACTAGTCGTAGGAGTAATAATATTAGTCACTGCCTCTACATTTCTTAATAACTTTATTATTATTAATAATTAATTATGATTTTATCAATTTGTTTGATCTTTTTCTAACAGAAACGTTGACCACAACACTATCACCATTATTTTAGACCGATTCATCTGTTGCTTTCTTCTCTCCTCTTTTTCATACCATTTACTAATAATCCCGGCTACAACTTTTTATGATGGTTGCAACCAGTTTTTTAGCAGATCTTGATTTAGTGGATTTAAAAAATATCCGAAAGATCAAGTACATATATTATTATCATCAATATGAAAATCCGTCAAATACAAGTAAAATAAATATAATAATAGTAATAGTAATTGACAGATTGGGTCTTGAAATTTTTATCATAAATCCGCAAAATCATGACGAAATTTTATATTTTATATTTAAATATTTTAGAATTGTTAAAGTGATGCATGAAAAGAACGCAAACACAAAACACCTTTAATTAATAATCGTATACTGAAATCCTTTTTTTTTTCACATAAATTATGTGCATATCAGCTATTACTATTTTGGTTAAAATTTTTTCATTTATGATTGTAGATCGTTTTTTGCTGGATCATCAATTAACACTGATTTTAAAATTTTTTCCAACAAATGATTATTAACAACTCTCATAGATGTTTTCGAATTCTTTTCAATCAATATGCAAAGAAAAGATATTCCTTCAAAGTATCAAATTTTATAAGAAATTCATCATCGATAACCTCACCGTTAAATAATAACGTTCATGAATTCAAAAATACAATCGTTCTTGATCCACCTTCCTTTGTTCAAAATGAACCTGGAAAACTTTTACCAAGCGCCTTTTCCGAAAATCTTTCTCTTCTATATGCATGTTTAAAGACTGGCGATATAGAGCGAGCAGAAAGAATACTAAATATACTACACAATTCTGGACCAAGGGAAATGAAGCATTACCTGGACATAAGTGTTCATAATACATTTATCGAAGAATTCATAGAATCAACTCCTACTCCAAGATTAAATCAAGCTTTAATATGGTTTGATCGATTGGAACGTTACGATGTAAAACCAGATTTAAAAACTTTTGCTATATTAGTTAAAGGTTACTTAAAGTAATTATATTACTATCATCATCATTGTCATCATCATCATTATTATCATCACCATCTCCATCATTACTATTATTATTTACTTACTTTTGATCTCAATAAATTTAAAAGGTTGGATTTGGATTTTGTTAGTTTCACAATGCTTAAAGTTTTAATTGATGAAATGGAACAGAATGGTCACACTTTTGAGCAATTAATGAATGCTCAATTATTGTCTGAAAAAGATATCATCAAAGTTTTGCAGGTCACTATAATATATATATATATGTGATTTAAAATATTTTTTAACATTATATTATTTTATATTAAAATAAAAATTTTATTTAGTTATTAAAATCAGATCAAGATAGAATCAGTGAATCAAAGGTACTCATTGAAAAGGTCGAGGACGCGATTGATAAACAAGAAATTCCTCAAAAAATTGAAGATGATGTGGTAAAATCAACAAAATCAGATCCTGTAAGTATAGTGTTTTTGATTAACAATAGTGCAATTTTATTGTCAATTTCTTATATATATATATATTAATTATTCGCATAATTATTCCAGCCAATTGGTGTAGAACTATTAAGAAATACTCTTTCCGCACTTCAACATGATAATTTAAATTTATATGAACAGCAAATGAAATTGGAAGAAAACGCAATTCAAGCTGCTATTGAACGTTGGAAACACGACACAGATGCACTTCTTAAACACGACGATAAATTACTTTTAAAAAGAAACAGTCCACTGAAAAAAGTTATGTGGGAGTGGCATGAAAAATTGGAACCATTAATTAATGAAGAAATAAAAAGATGTAAAAATCCAAAGATTTTAGCTAAAGGTAAATAAGATTCTGCACGCGCGCACGCACATTAAAGCACAAACTTATCAAGTCTAATTAAAAAACCTTTCCCTATTTTAAGATGTTGATCGCAAACTCTACGGTCCGTTTCTTCAACTATTAAGTGCTGATAAACTTTCAGCAATAACAATTTTAGAATTTGTGCGTAATCAAAGTACTGGCGGCGTTATTCAAGGAATGAAAACTACTCGCCTGATAATATCAATTGGTAAATCAATCGAAAATGAATATAATGCTGAACAAATGAAAAAGAGGAAAAATAGAATGATGGTATTTTCATAAATTCTACTCATCATTCATCCGTCCGTCCATCCATCCATCCATCCATTCATCATCCATCCATCCACTTATTTAATAATTCTATTCAAAATCCATAGATTCAAAAAAAATTGAACGTTCATGAACTTTATTCATCTGGAAAACTGTTTAATATGGCAGTTCGTAAAGTTACGGCGAAAATTGAAAGAGAAAATTCTAATTCTGAGTGGCAACCTGAATGGCCGACACCTGTTAAAGCAAAGGTGAGATTATTTAGTTTTTAAAATATATATATACATATCAATAAACAAAAATAAAAGTTGTTTAATAAAATTTGGTATCTTTATAGATCGGCTCACTTCTGGCATCAATGTTACTAGATTGTGCAAAATTAAAAGTCTTTGCACCTGATGTTAAACTGTATATATAAATAACTATTATTACATTCATTACATTACTCTACATTATATTACCATATTAATTTATTTTTTTACCAATAGAGTTCAAGAAGTACCTGCTTTTTACCATACATATGAAATGCAAAAAGGAAAAATAATTGGAATAATTCAATACAACCCTCAACTTGTAAAATTCCTATCATCTAATTCTGTAGTTGAAACTTTAACGCCTCGTTTGTTACCTATGCTGGTTCATCCTATGCCATGGTTAAATTATAATAGTGGCGGTTATTTAATGTCACCAAGTAAGAATAGAATTACAATCACTTATTCAATTATCTTTGTAAACTATATATGTATATGTTGGTTATTTAATAATAAGTTTTCGGATTTCTTTTCACGCTCACTATTTTTTTTTTAATTGTAAAACTTTAGCTATTGCAATGCGAATTAAAGAATGTCCAGAACAATTAGCCTATTTAAAAAAGGCTTCAGATGAAGATTATCTTGGTCGTGTATTTGCAGGATTAGATGTACTTGGTTCAACCAAATGGGCTATTAATAAAAAAGTATATGAAGTAGTTTTAGAAGTTTGGAATAGTGGAAAAGCTATTGCTGATATTCCTCCGTCCAATTTAGATTTAACAACTCCAGAAAAGCCAGAAGATTTTCTTATAAATATAGCCACAAGAAAAAAATGGTATCGTGAATGTGAAGAAATCCAAAACAAGATTCGTAACAATCACTCTAAACGATGTGCCACCAATTATAAAATTGATATTGCCACTGCAGTAAGTTATTTATTAATTTTATTTGATTTGATCTTATTAAAAAGATATAATCTAAATTAACGCAGTGTGCATATTTATTTATTCATTCATTTATTTAACTATTTATTTATTTTATAGTTTTTGGATAGGCCAATGTATTTTCCACATAGCTTAGATTTTCGAGGTCGTGCATATCCAATACCAACACATTTAAATCATTTAGGTGATGATTTATGTCGTGGTTTATTGCTATTTGATGAAGCTAAACCGATAGGTAAATCTGGTCTTAAATGGTTAAAGATTCAGATAGCCAATTTAGCTGGACATGATAAAGCTTCATTTGATGAACGATTAAAGTTCACGGAAGATAAACTAGAACTCATAATGGATTCAGCAGACAAACCCCTTACGGGGAAATGTTGGTGGCAAACAACAGAAGATCCTTGGCAGTGTCTATCAGCATGTATGGAATTAACGAATGCACTTCGATCTAAAGATCCAGAAACTTATGTTTCAAGAATTCCCATTCATCAGGATGGGACATGTAATGGATTACAACATTATGCGGCTTTGGGTGGTGATTTAGAAGGTGCTAAACAAGTAAACTTGGATCCGTCTGATAAACCATGTGATATTTACACAGGAATTGCAGAAAAGGTTCAAAAGTTGATAAAGAAAGATATAGAAAATGGTAACAAAAATGCTACAATTTTAGATGGCAAGATAACACGTAAAGTTGTGAAACAAACTGTAATGACAAGTGTTTACGGTGTGACGTTTGTTGGAGCTCGATTACAAATAGAAAATCAGCTCAAGGAAATCAAAGAACTTTCCCGCCTTCCTACCACAGAAATACGTGAATTATCAAAGTATGTCACTCATCACGTATTTAGTTGTTTAGGAGAAATGTTTCATAAAGCTAGATTAATTCAAAATTGGCTGAATGAAAGTGCCAAAAGAATATCTAAAAGTGTTCCACCAAATGTGGTGTTAAATACAGATGAAGAAACCAAACAAGAGATAAAGGAAGATCACAGATCAAAAATAAAAGTTGATGATTATAATAATAACAATGATGTTATTGATGATGACGATTATGATGGCTATATTAGTAGTAATGATAATAATAATAATGATAATGATAAACCAAAGGGAAGTATTGTCAAATTATCACCCAGTAAGCCCGGAAAAGATCAAATGACAGCAGTTGTATGGACTACACCATTAGATTTGCCCATTGTACAACCATATAGAAAATTAGGAAGTAAAACAATTAAAACAAATCTTCAAAATATTAGTATTGAAGATCCTGATGTTGCTAGTCCAGTAAACAGTCTTAAACAACGTGCGGCATTTCCACCAAATTTCATCCATTCACTTGATGCAACACATATGTTAATGACATCGTTAGAATGTAAAGAACAACAACTGACATTTGCATCAGTACATGACAGTTATTGGACTCATGCTTGTGATGTCGAAAGGATGAATTTAATAATTCGTGATCAATTTATCAAGCTTCACGAACAACCTATTATGGAAAACCTTCGCAAAGAATTTATGGAAAGATATAAAGGCTATAAGGTGCCTGTTAAATTGCCTACAGATAAATATTATGAACTACTTCGTAAAAAAGTAGGAGAAATCCCTTCACCAGCTGATGATGGATACGAAACTATTTTAAATTTAGAAGATATCTTGGACATTACTGATAATTTTCAATTCGGAGAACCTACCGGACTGCTCAAAGAATTTGACAATAAAGAATTGGCTGAATTATCATCAGAAAATATTAAGGATGCATTTGCAGAAATATCTTATGACTTGGAAAACGATATCGACGATCCATCAAAGCATTTGGAAAGTGAAGAAACATCAGAGATTATAAATGACAAAAAACCAAAATCAAAATATGTTTATAAATGGTTTGATATAGCATTTCCATCCTTACCTGAAAAAGGAAATTTCGATGTTATTAAAGTGAAAGAAAGTAAATATTTCTTTGATTAACAGCTAAACTTTCGGTTCTCTATTTAATTATATATATATATATATATATAAATTTAAAATAGATTCAATTCTTAATTTTTTTTATTTGTAAATTTTAATGTAAATTAAATTAATTTTTCTTTTTTTTTTTTGAGTTTTATGAAAAATTTTAAAAAAATTTATGTCCAAACATCATAAATCATCCTGTTTGTTAAATTGAGTACTTAAGTATTTATTTTGTGGCTTTCCCATACCTCTTTCTTTTGAAAGCTATCAAAAAAGACATTGAAGAAGATATGTTCACGCCTGAAATAATAAAAAGAAATTAATAATCATTATTATTTCTAAAACGTAGTCGGTATAATATGGAAATACCGAATGCTTATTAAAACAATATTTGACAGCTTTACAATCTATTCTCGAGATAATTTTTAAAAATTATTGGTTTTGAACTTTACTGCAGAGATGCAGAGGATCTTAACACTTTTAACACAAGACTTGATGAAATCGAACAAGTTCTTGGACGCTATCACAATAATTTTGGTAGAATCGCCACCGAATTTGAATCAATTAACGGATCTATCACAACAATGCAAAATGAAATTGATCAACGTTCTGCAATTATTCAAAGAATTGAATCTGATTGACCAAGTGAAGCGAATCAATCCGAATCCTCTTCATACCTCCGGTTCTTCTGGCGAGATAATAAAGCCAAAGTCATTCATTGATTATAATTAGTGGGGTTGTAACCCCAAGATATAAATTCGACCGACTTGATTTTTTTGATTACAGGCTCAGCCCGATTATCATTTACAGACACCACTTTAACCATCCGAATTCGCTTTAAACAAATCTTCGATAGGATTAGGACCGAAAGAAGCTATACTTTTGATGAGATGTACTATTCTGTAGCAATGCGTATTCGTGAAATTTGGAGGGAATATTAGGCGGGAAACGGTGAAAAGCTTTTATAATAGAGATGATGATTGTAGGAGCAGTACAGTAGATCAAATTGGCGCATGGATACATAGTATGAAATTGTGAGATGGGACTCTCATTTTATGGGTTAGGGCTTGAGAGATTCCTCCTTTAAACATGATCTGCTCCATTCATTCTATTACATTTGCTTTTTTAGTTTATCATAATCAACGAAAAAAAAATTAATAAAGATTCTTGCCCAAAATTCATAATGTCAACACGAAACATGTCAAACTCGTTTTTTATTTTAGCATTTGACACAAGCACAATATGAAAAACTAATTTGATTCTCGTTTTCCTTCCTGTCCTTCAGAGCAATACGAGTGAAAAAAATGTATTTATCACCCATCGTTTTCATTTGGTCCATCCATTAAACCACACGATGAGAAAACGTTGATATTTTCCGGATAAATGAGAAGCAGTTGAGGTATTTGTTCAATATTGAGAGATCCTGAACAGTGTCGGTTTGTAATCGAGACAAGAATCACGTCATGCTCGGCTTTGTAGTTTTTCACTGATGCCATTGTTGCTTCATATCATTTTTTAATGGATGGTGTGGAAATAGTAGTTGATGCATTGCATTCCGAGCAAAAATACCGCTAATTTCTTTTCAACATCAGCAGAATCAAGAACTAACGGCGATTAATATTGGTACAGTCAAACCTCATAAGCCGAATCACTATAAACCGATTTTCGCTTTATAACGATGTAAAAGTGGTTAACCAAAAAACATAATTAATTATAATTGTAAAATAACCATAAGCCGAATTTTGATAAGGATTTGACTGTGCAACCAAAGTTTACTTAAATCTAATCCAGCTGATCCCACATAAATTGGTTTGTTAAGTAAAGCTTCTTCTTTTCCAAGATACACACCAAACAAGTCATCATTAAATACTAACAGTGTGGTTTAGCTGAATTCTTTATTACGGCACGTTCTGAGTACCAGTTATCTTTTAGTCGTATCAATATAATTTCATATATTTTCCATTGTCTTACCATATACAACGTTATTCATAATTTTAAAGGAGTCTTTTTCAAATCCGTTCTTAGAGAGTTTGGTTATACAGTACATCATATCACAAGACCACAGTTATTAAATATCATTCTAATGTTCTAGTTTCATATAACAAGTTACTATGCGAGTAATCCTGGATTTATACAGTGTCCATTATAGAAATCAATCGTCTAGAAGGGGAGGTTGATACAGAGAAAATTGATATGGTTATTATCATGAAGGAGGAGAAAGTTGAACCGACTAGGACAGGTAATTATTTGGATTGAATATCAATTTCACATTCGGTAAAACGTGACATCATTTCTCTTGACGAAGTTATTATAATTTTTCAAGGCAGGCATAAATCAATGTGCGCATACATTATTAGTTGAAATCATCATCAAAAAAATTTTTTTTTTACGGGGAGAAGGGAAAATTCAGATTACAACTTTATTTTCATTAATATGGATCGAAAACAAAAGTTGAAATTAAATATTTAATAATAATAACGAGCTATAAAACGGAGAAAAAAAAATCTAGAAATAAATACCACCTAAAAAAAATTTATTACCCCTATTTCCGCTACTACTAACCATAACTTCATTAATATATTTATTTTTCATAATAAATAATGTTTATTCTTAAATTTCTCTCAAATTGAATTCCTAATTAACCTAATGTCCAATTTCTAAATTCTTCCATGGAACACAGATTCATTAAGATTAGGGGCGCGGGTTCCTGATAATAATTCCTTAACTTGGGATGGTGGTTGCAGTCCATGTTTGTTTGCTCTATCCCATCTTTGTAACCTTGTAATTCCAACACAAGGTCCAAATTTGTAATTCAGATCGAATGCGATAAGGAATTTATTTTCTTCGCTAAGATTGTCATAATGAAGAACTTCCACATAATGATAAATAATAATATTAATTATTAATCCTATTAGCATTATTAGTCAATAGTATTTCTCAACTCACTTAATTTTGGTCTAACAGAATAAGATGATGATGATGATCTAGCAATAGAAGAGCTAGTAGTAGCAACATCAACTTTTGCAGCAATATTATTATCAATTTCTTGATATGACGACGATAATAATTCTTCATCTTGACCTAATTCTGATTCAAAAAATTTATCATTATTATTATATCGCTATTATTGTAAATATAACTATTATTAATAACATTTTCAGGATCATTATTGCCTTTTCTTAAGTTACACGTTCTTCTTGTTGTTTTGGCTTCTCTTTATCATTATTATTGTTATCAGTAGTAACAGTGGTGTCATTAGTTGTGGTAGCATCATTATGTCTTGATTTCTTTTTTGGTCGAGTGTTGTTGCCTTCATTTTTTTTTTTTGTGGGCCAATAAGTAATTAGACCTTTTTGTTTTGGATCATTTTTCTTTGGTGACATTTTTATTATTTTGATTGATAAATCAATAAATAATTTTTTATAATAAAGGTTGGAAAAGAAGATCTTGGATGTTGATTACCCCATAAAAAATAACAGATGATAATAATAATTTCCGTAAATCAGTCCGAAGTTGATTGATCTACCAATATTTTTTTTATTAAAAAATATATATAATGCGAATAAGAAAAGAGTTAGGTATTGTCAAGTCCAATTAGGTTTTTTTTTTTTTTTAATTTAGTATTATTTATTTACTAAATTGTATATAATTAATAATTATTAGAAAGATTTTGTGTAATTCCATTACTTAAAATTAATAAAATATCACTATTAAGAACAATATCAAATCGTAGTATAAGTAATAACAGTAGTGTAAACATTATCAGCAATGGAAGAACATCTAATAAAAAACCTAATATTATTATTATTAATTCAATTAATGGTGGAGTATGTATTTTCTCTTTTCTTCTCTTCCCATATACTCTTTATTCTTTATTATCTCTGGTAATATATCTTACTCATATATTTATTTATATATCATAATGATATAAATCAGAATATAATTTATCCACCATCACTAAAGCTTATTACAAATACTACTACAAGATCTTATTCTTCTGCTACAAATAAATCATCTTTTGATAAGCGTAATATTTCCAGGGTAAGCTTTCAACTTTACAAATACAATATATTATTTACTTATATACACTCACACTCACATGCATATTTATTTAATAGCAATTCACGTGGCAAAGTTTTGCAGTATTCATTGCGACTGGAATTGGTTTATTTTTTTATTTCAAATCTGAGAAAGAAAAAATGGTGCAAAAAAGTAAATATCATCATAAAAAGTAATAATAACAATTACTATTATTATTTCTTTTTTTTTTTTTTAATCAGTCAATTTTTTCAAAACAAATCAGAGAATGAAGCAAAAGAAAATAGAAACATTGGTAGTCCTAAAATAGGTGGACCATTTGAATTATTAAATCAAGATGGAAAAGTTGTTACTGATAAAGATTTTCTGGGAAAATATATTTTGGTTTATTTTGGTTTCACTCATTGTCCTGACGTTTGTCCTGAAGAGTTGGATAAAATGACTGAAGTTACTGATGCCATTAGTAAGTTTTTTAAAACTGAACAAAGGTCTTTGGGTCTGTGAATTGTGTTGAATTAATAAATAAGATATTAACTGGCTTCTTTTTTTTTTGTATAGGGAATGATCCAGAATTAAAAGGGATTGTCATAACACCTATTTTCATATCATGTGATCCACATCGTGATACAGTTGAAGTTGTTCGGGAATACCTTAAAGGTAAAATCAATCGGTCAATGTTAATTAATCAACTAGTTAACTAGTTGAACAATCAGTTAATCAACCAATCAATCAATCAATTCAATCTCACTAATTTATTTCAAATAATAGATTTTCATAAAGACATTGGTAGGCTTAACAGGATCATTTGAGAAGATATCCAAGGTGGCAAAAGCATATCGTGTCTACTTTAGTAAACCACCAAATGTTAAAGAAGGTGAACAATACCTAGTTGATCATTCGATATTTTTTTATTTGATGAATCCTAATGGTGAATTTGTTGATGCTTATGGTAAGAGTACGAGTGCTAAAGAGGTTTACAACAGTGTCAAAAATCATATTAAAGATTTTACAAATTCAAGTACACCTATTCCAAATGCTAAGTAAATAAACATATTTATTTATTAACAATTATTAATAATAGAACGCTTTTTGTTCGATATAAATGTTTGGAAAATTTTGACAATTATTAGAAATCCTGCTTATTTTATATGATTTATGTGAATTATTCAAACTCGCTAACCTTCTATTTTTACAAACCGTTTTTATAAAAATGTAATTTGCAATCTGCAATATGCCTGCTGATTGTAAATTAGAATTTGCTGACTGCAAATTGCAAAAGGGCTTGTCAACGAACTTCTCTAAACCAAATTTTTGAGAAGGATAAAATCAAAATTGTAGCGAGCAATTTTTTTTTGTATTGAATTTTTTTAAAAAATTAACGACCTTGCATTTGCGAATATCCCATTTTTTATTTTATTCGAGTGATTGAGATGCATTCTCGTACATTATATTAGGAAAAAGTACTTGTGGTCAACTGTGCCGTTCATCAAAAATAAAATTAGAATTGTTAGAACTGCTGATAACAAATTTTTTGATAGATGGCCTTGGTTTGTCGGGACCACTAATGTGGAAAAAAATATTAATATTAAAGTCATTATACTCAAGTTGGATAGTGGATCACGACTCCCTAATTCAGATAGAGTTCCGAACAAGTTGGTGGAGTCAAGTTTTCTGTTTTCGAATTGGGTCGTAAATTAGATTTGACCTGACTCATCCGGACAATTATAATTGAACTGGTATTAACAAAAGTGGGTATAAATTGGCTTTTTTTTTTGCTGGTATGTAAAAACGGGTATGGTGTGAAATTTCAGGGTATTTTTTTGAACATTTACAATTTATAACTGGGATGATATAAATGGGGTAAAATCAGTTGTTGATCATATTATTTGTACCACATTTGGTATTGGAAACAAGGTTACAACTGAGAACGCAGTGTGAGCTTTTGCTTTTCGTGTTACAAAACACGCACACCGTGCTACGCGAGAATAAAAATTCAATCAAGTTGGGTTTTGCGTCATTTTCATCGCAAAGAGCAAAAAAAATGACATCACTCGGGCCAAGACACTAGTCTATTTTATTAAATTCGAAACATATGAATAGGACAGCCGTTCAAACTTTTTTTTTGTTATTTTTTCATAGAGAAATTCCTCTCAGGCCATTTCAGCGCACGAAACTCAACCTTCTACATTCGGCCACATGAAATAATTGTCGGTATTATTATATATACAATGTTATTACAGGAGAGACCATTGATTGATTGATCAATTAAAATCGTGAATTTAAAATAAACATTTAATGTGGGTTTGATTCATTTTGTCAACAATCACTTCACGAACAATTGTTTCATTAACAAATGGTTCGAATTTAAGAAGCCGGTAGCAACCATGCGACAAAACTTTTGAAATAGTCTAATAAACCAAACCGTACTACTTGAAAATGTATTTAAAGGGTTGGTTTTCGACTTGATTGAAGAATAACTCTCTTCCTAACTCTTCTCTTGACCATATCTCTCGATAT